TGTTTGTCCTCATCATAAAGCGTGTAGCCCCTCCCGGTTTAGACGTGGTGCTCATGCAGGTGTCTCTTTCTGTTCCGACGCTGCTGCACGTAATACTTTTAATTTATTATGCCTACAATTTATTTTTACTCAGTAACGGATATGATTTAAAATGTAGCGAATTACAATTCTTTTTTAAAAACTTACTCAAGTAAAAGTACAGATTTTAAAAACGACTTAAGTATAAATTTACAAAAAAGCTACTCAATTACAGTAACGTGAGTAAATGTAATTCGTTACTTTCCACCTCTGCCCAAGACATACAGAATCAAGCACGGAGATGAGGTAAAGAACAATAATTTATTTAAATGTGGAGGTGAACTGAAGGCGTACTGGAGATCCAGCGGGAGGACGAATCCGGAAGTGGTAACTAGGGGGAAACCAGAGGTGAGTAATGGGAGTTGTAGTTCTTAGGAAATGTTTGTGGGCCGAACTTACGATGAGGAAGTTCGGGATGAATGTGGAGGGGAGATGAGCTGGGGTGATATCCAGAAGAGACTTGTGATTATGGGGGTGGGTGAGTGGAACGGACGAGGCGGATGAGGACGAGGCAGAGGAGAAAGAGCGTAATCGGTGGAGAGCGGAGCGGCTGGGTGGAGTCGTAATCCAGGCAGCGAACCGGTGAATAATCCTTTGACTTGGAGACGGGAACGGATCCAACGATGAGGTAAGTCTGTGGGTGAGTATCAAAGCAGAGAAAACGAGCTCAGGTTAAAACGAGTTTCAAAGTCTCAAAGTTCAAAAATAAGACAAGATTCGAAAACAACGAGAGGCTAGAGTCTACCAGGCAGTAGATAATCATCCGGCGTCGAATGAGGATAATCGTCCTCCTTTTAAAGCCGCCCCACTGATCAATCTGATGCGGATCAGCTGCGCTCCCTCTCCTGCAGGCAAAAACTCAGAGATGATGAGATGATGGGCAGAGTACTCACCCCGGCTCATGAAACGATGTGCCGATGTCTGATTTGTAGTCATGCTAATTACGAACATTTACAAGCTGATAAATCTCAAAATACGTGACTGGCGTGGTCAAAACACTCATCATTATTTTTGATTTAAATATAAGTACAACATATGTGCGATATGTGCCTAAGGCTAAACGGATTAGAAAATAGCACTTTTAGCCCCGTTGACTTGCATTCTTTTTTTTTTTTGTTCTTCCAGGGGACGTCGTGTTGCTCCTAGCCAATCAGAGCTGAGATGTCCAGCTATAACGAAATAAGACTCAGAGTCCTTCTGTCTGCTGCCATTTTCTCCTCCGGCTAATTTCTATCTCCCTGTTTCTCCCAAGAGAATGATTTACAAGGCATTCGTTCCAACTACAGACCACTGCAAATGTATTAAAAATATTAGTAAATTTGGCTTTTGAGTTTATAGATAAATTGTTCAATGAAAATTTTATATAAAGAAGCTCAGAGAATTAAAGAATAACTGACGGTGGAGGCTATATCTTAATCATATTAAGGAAAGAAACAGAAGAAAACACTTTTTAGGGCCATAATTAATGCTGACAGAGAGAGGAAATTTGTGTTTGGGTTGCCGGCATGCTCACCATTCAGCAGAATCTTTAAACTGCATGCTGCGACATAACAAAGCTTTCTTATAAAACCATGACATTTTTAAAAGAAAATTGCTCCAGTCTGAAAAAAAGGATAAAAATGAGAAAATTATCCAAAATCATACCTATTCCTTCTAAAGGACCGTCTAAAGGCTCTTAATAGACCCATTTACACACACACACACACACACACACACACAAGTCTTCAATTTTTCAGGCTGAATAGTGCTGAGGTTGAAAGAGCCGCTCTTATGATGAAAGAATCTCACTGGCTTCTAAAAAATAAAATCTTTGGATTGGAAATACTGCTCGTCACAACTTACAACAATAATTCATGTTAATATGGAATATATTTCCAGTTTGCTGGTAAAAGCAGCAAGAACTGGTAAAAATATTTTAAGTCACGTTATGGGATGGCCAACTCATGATTCAGTGCTGTTCTGTTTTTATTTTTTATTGTAACCTTGTATTTTTTATGAATGTATATTTTTACATTTATTGCATCAGTAATGTCATCATTTTAGGGTGACTTAATACCAAATTAACATAAATGCAGGTCATTTACATGCAACTATCATGTATGGTGATGAAGAAGAGGACACAAACCCATAAAAAGCAGTTGAACACAAAAAAAAAGTCCTAAAACAGTCAAAAGTCCTGCACAAGCAGAGAATTAAAATGGAGCTGTTTGATTAAAAGGACTTTACGGAGTTTTGAATTTTTATGCTCGCGATTGCCCCCTCAGGCCAAAAGCGTAACGGCAGCTTCAATAGTATGCTCGTGCACGAGGCACACATGCTGTACGTGCACACTCCTTAACGAAAATAACACCTGAGACAGTCCCCCATGTGTGTGTGTGTGTGTGTGTGTGTGTGTGTGTGTGTGTGTGTGTGTGTGTGTGTGTGTGTGTGTGTGTGTGTGTGTGGCCCGGAGGACAGAGGACAGGAGAACACACAGCTAATTAATTAAATAATTTGGTTCTGTACCTTTCTCTTCAGCACAGCCGACAAAGGTTTAAGATGGGTCAGTCCTCCTGCATGCTCAGACCATTCCCTTCCCTTGCTTGAAAAACTGTTCCAAAATGAAAGTTGAACCCACATCTTTTTTATCTGTGAATTCAATGCCATTCGGCGAATGTCAAATAAAAATTTGGGCATCTTACTGTAAAACAATATACCATTAATGTAAAACATAAACTCTAAATAAATTATGTTCACATCTAGTATCGAACCCGGATCTTCACACAGGAGTCCACCATCTTACTGTGTGAGCTATAGCACCAGTGACATCTTTTGTATCTGTAACATTTATATCCCTGATGACAGCTGAAACAACGTTCAAAGAACAGTTTGGAGCAAAAATGACTATTTTGTTGCTAATTTGCAGGAAATATCTAGAAGAAGGGTCCTCAGAAATGTAGCTAGGTTCATCACTAGGCGTTAGGAACAGCGACAAAGTCGCTGAGTTGGCACTACCTCACTCTCTGCTGCTAAAGCTACGGATAGCAAATGCTACGGGCTATGCCTGAGCGTGAACGCGCATGAAGCAGCCTGCTCGACCCAAGCAGCTCTCTTTGTCTGTGATTTTACAGAAAAACCGAGATAAACAGGCAATCACAGTAAAAATGCCAGGGTTCATTCTACAGGACCAGGGTATTGCAGGAGAATGTATGAAGAAGACATTTATTATTTCTATACATGTTTTGGCTGTCAAACTTCCATAATGCCCCTTTAAATATAATTTAATGTGTTGCTGGTAGTTCGGGGGCCACAAAGACGGGCCCCACGGGCCGGACCTGGCCCGCGGGCTGCCTTTGTGTACCACTGATTTAGACATTTTAGATTTAGAGTCAAGAGCAGACAGCTGTACTTACATCTTTTATTTAGAAAAAGGATGTATCTTCTTCAACAGTGTGTGGCGGACTTTTCTGTTGACTAAAATCCGTAGCTATGACTACGTCACGTTGTTTGTTGTCCAATAGCATGTGGAGGCAGTTTAAATGACAACCATAGATTCCGTCCCACGACTGAGATTTGCTTATTGGTGGGTCATGGCTAGACTATATAGTTACACGTGTATAGAATGGCTTGCCATCCTATGTATGTGAATAAAGCACCTTTGGGTTAAATTAAATGTTTTCATAAAATGTCCTCTTCGGTCTATAAAATGTCAGCGATCCCTGTGCAGCTGTTTAGGAGGGCATCGGTAAAATGATCATTGCCAGGTTCCTCTTTGCCTCCAGTTTTTTCTCTTTTATGTCCATCGCAATCTAAGCTTAAGCAAAGTTGTAGTAATGGTTCTTATCAATGATTTATAAATGAGAACCCTGGGAACTTGTGCAACAAATTTCCCCCTAAAATATATCATCATGGATGTTTTCTTTTTAGTTTTAGTGGGTTCAAAAGTTCAAGAAATTTCTGACTTGTAAAGCTAAAACGTGACAGATTTGAGACAAAAAGATATTGTGACATTTTTAGCTTGATGAATCTTGCAAATGAAGGCAAATTACAAACAACTTGGGACATAATGAACTCTTTAATAGCCACACCAAGAAAAATGTTATTTTTTAATTAAACCAGATATTTTTCATTGAATGAGGGTTTTAATATAATGTAAGTAATAGTAATTAAGTGATAATATTCTAATTAATATACTATTAATTGAATATCTTCACACTTTAAAGAATGTTTTAATTTGTTTGTTACTTCATTATTTATTTAATATTATGTAGAAACTAAAACCTACTCTTCACCTGCAAATAGGATGAATACAGCTCAAAAGATACGCAATCTTTTATCATTTTGCAATTTTGTGTCCCCAACTCGTCGCCACCAATAAATATGTCCCCAAAGTAAATTGTGTTTCAGTTTGTTCATTCGTTTACTTCCTTACAATGACTCCTCATATCGATCAGATGAACAAAATTATTCAATCAAGATTAAATTCAGTCCTTGAATAGAAGCAAAACTATTTCAGTTACTTCAAACTTGCTTTTAAACTTGAATATATATATATATATATATATATATATATATATATATATATATATATATATATATATATATATATATATATATTGCTGTATGAAAAATATTAATAGTGGTTGAGTATTTCATCCTGGACTTGTTTACATCTGAGTATAAAACATGTGCAAAATGCATGTTTCTTCTCTTTTATGTTCTAACTCTAAATAATCTTGTCATTTTTTTCTTTCTTTTGCCTTTTTACCCTTGAGAGCAAACAACAGCAGAGATTTTACAACAACAAATCTTTTCAAGGCTGAAAACTCAGATTCCTGTTCTTTAGCAGGTTTTTCTTTCATACTTAAAAGAACTGAAGCTCTCTCCATTGTTAAACCAGTCTAATGCACTCCAGATTACCAATGAAATGCCTTGGGTGTAAGATGGAAGACGCTGGCTTGCAGACAAAAGCTGGTGGAAGTTTGACTGTTCAGAAAAAGTGCAATCATGTGAGGAGTGTTCCAAAGGCCTGGGACCGGCGTGAGCAATCCATAAATCTTCCAATAGTGGCGGAAAAAGATTTAGTGTTTGCTGTGAATGTCTGGATCTTTGCGTCATCACTGCAGGGATCAACATTAAGGCATGAGGGGTTTATAATTTGTTGGCAATGTCTGAACTAAGCATGCATTCATTAAATGTATGGTTTTATGTGATGAGCAATACATCAGACTCGTTCATAACAAAATATAAGAATATTTGGTTTCCTAATGTTGATTTTTTTTAAATTGTGCCTTTCATTCATCATCATTATTCTGGGACAATTGCAGAGAAAGTGAGAAAATGGTGAAATATTACTCATGAGAAGCAAAGTCCAACAATCCAATAAAAGGTCTGAATTAACTGTCAACTCAGTGACTAAAAGATATGAGCCTTCCAGCTCACATTTTCTGTTCATAATGAAGGATATATAAACCAGATATATCTGCTTTTGCTTGTTTGTCACATTTAAATGTTTCAGACTAACACAGTTTAGTGTTAAACAAAAGATGACCTGAGCAAAGCTACAATGCAGTTTTCAAATGATGACTTCATTTAATTAAAATAAATCAACCTTATGTAGAAAAAGTTTAAATGCCCATCAGTTAGGTATAATCTTGACAGCTGAGTCCGCTATAGCCAAACTCAGGTGTAATCACTGCCAGACCTGTAAATTTAGGAATTACTTCAATAAAACATTTCCAACAACTTTAAGTGGGCTCAGAAATATTAAGTCTCATTCTAAAGAAAATTATCTGCTGACAGAGCATAAAAATCTGTCTCACATTTACCAAACAATACATCTTCTTGATCACCTGCCAAGACTTCATGAAGAATATTCTGTGGACTGATGATACAGACATGTAACTTTTTGGAAGAAGTGTGTTGTGTTACTACAGTACATGGTACTACAGTAAATCTATTGCATTCCAGTAGAAAACATCAATGATCAAATATGGTGGCAGTGGTGCCCCTGAGGGGTAGCCTGAGGGGCCATAGCCACCCCTAGAAAAGTCTTCCCAGGGAAGACTCCCTCCACATCATCCATCTTAATTTTCCTCCTCATAATTCACCTTCATGCTCAGCAATTTTCCCACCACAACAGACTGGTACAATGCCTAAGTCTGACTACTGATCTCCTGCTCCATCTTTCCCCTCACTCATGAACAAGACCCTAAGATACTTAAACTCCTCCATTTGAGGCATGACCCTTTCCTTGACATGGAGAAGGTATTTTACCCTTTTCCAACTCAAGACCATCGGATTTAGAGAAGTGCCCCATACTCCCAGAGACCCCCCCCCCCCCCCCCCACACACACACACACACACACACACACACACACATACACACAAACACAAGGCCCTCAGAGGGTACACAGCCAAACACCTTCTTCAAATACACAAAATACATGTAGACAGGTTGGGCAAACTCCACCCACCCCCCCATGGTAATAGAGCTGGTCCAGTGTTCCACGGCCAGGATGAAAACCACATTGTTCTTCCTGAATCTAAGGTTCGACTATTTGGTGGAACATTTCCTGTGCCTCTGATCCTCCCATTCTAATGTGGCCAAATTAAATATTTCAGCAAGAATGAGAGGGCCAGAGTTCCTCCACAGAGATGCAGCTATTGCCATTTGTTTAACAACCAGTTTTAAAAATTAGGTGTACGTTCCATTTGTAACTCTGAGCCAAGTTGGTTTAATAATGAAACCCTCTTTTGAAACATTTAAGTGTCAAAATAAAAGTAAAGTCAGAAGAAATCTATACATTTCACACACATTTAACCGTCTGGCCCGTGTTTTGTTTCATTTATTTAAAGCAAAACTGTTTCCTGTAAAGAAAAGTTCAGTGAGGTATGCCCAGACTTTGCTTGGTCATGACGTTACTCTCTATGGTTCAAGTTTGTGAATTAGCACCAGTGACAGGCCAACGTTTGAAAAACAATTACCAGATGTTAAAGAGCAGAGCCGTGATGGATATCATTTGACAGACCTTACATAAACTATAATAAGGTCTCTGGCAGCACATTTCAAGAGGGAGTAACAGTTTGTCGCAAAGCATTACTAATGATGGCATTTGCCGTGTCGACTGACTCCTGGGGGGCTGTGATGGACTAGATGTGCCAGACCTGAGCCTTCAGTTGATGTAATTGAAGTAAAATAATGTTGACTGTGGGCAGAAACAGGGAATAAACAACCTCTTGTGTTGAATGCACACTGTATAGATCAGTGAAAGGGACCAAACTAAGACCACCGTGAGGTAGAGGGATCGTTTCAAAGCCAACAGCTCATCGGGACATTTACAAACTGGCACTGGTCACTGATAGGGACTGGTTTCCACTCTAGCTCACCATAAAGCTTTAAATATGTCTATATGGCTGTAGGCACAAACAGTTGTTGGTTGATTGAATGTGTTATGCTGACCTACTGAGCCAGAAGCAGTTCTTCGTGTTAAAGGGACAGTTCAGATGTTCGGATGAGCATCTCAACAGGAACAACATAAACTATTAATAAAATTCTGCTTCAAGAAGCTCGTTGGACAGTTTTCTTCCACAACGATTTTGCACTGAATCTTTGCAATTTTGCTGAATTTGATTCGCTCCCTCCTCCTCGTTCATTCAAGCTGTTACTCACCACCACCTCGCTGTGGGAAGCAATGCTAAACTCTTCTGCATGAGGTCCAAACGTGTCACCTACTGAACACATTTCTCAGGAAGTAAAATCAGCTGGAAGCCTGAACATTTGGAGTTAGTTGGAACTTCACTGAAAAACTCATGGTAGGTTCTCCTCTGGGTTTGACTGTCACAATGAAAGACACCAGTGCAAACTTACCACTGAAGAACAATCTGACAAACTCTAAAAACTAATGAATTAAAATAAAACATGAACATAAATTATAGCTAAAGGGAAGGAACAAATGATGAAATGCCTGAGCTACCTCAGACGACTCAGCTTTCATCAGATTCTGTCTCCGCACTCAAAAGAACAGTAAGATAATATAAGGGCATCTGATGAATTAACGTAGAACATTTTTATGACAATAATTTGAATTAACAGATGACAGAAACCTGAAACCTGAAATGTCAAGAATAAAACTGGTGAGATGCTTTACGTAAGAGGGATTTAGTGTGAAGAACTTTGTGAACATGTTTTGCATCAACCATAGAACTAATATAACTTAAAGGTTCCATTATATGTTAAATCTTTGAGCTCAAAGGTAGGCATAATACCAGTACCGGGACCAGAGTGAATAGGGTGTGTATGGGGAGCATGAGTGGGTGTCTGGCGTGCATTTTTGTAAGTCTTGGGTTGTATGTGCATGTGTGAGCATGAGGGAGGGAGTGTGTGACTGTGTTTGTGTATGACTGTACATGTCAGGTGGGGCCTTTGACTCCTCCCCTCTCCTGGAACTTCTTTTGATGATATAGATCTTCGTCCCCCCTCCCCCTGCCACACCTGGTGTGAGGGGTTGTGCCATGGTCTGCCTGAGTGTTCGTGGCAACCTGGTCTGGGGGTTTAAGATTTTGGCATCTGCCTGATAGATCCCGGTGGCTGCCTGGTGGGGTCTGGGTCCCTGGGCTCTGCTGGGTCCCCGGAGGGGGTGGTAGCCCCTGGGTCCCGGGTCGCTGGGTCCCGGGCTCGGCCGGCTAGGGGGTGGGAGGCTGCGGGCGGGCCTGTGGGCTTGCCGCTGATGCCTCCCGGGACTCTGCCGGCTGCTGGTTGTGGCCCCCCGGGACGATCCTCTGTGCCTCTCGAGGGGGGCGGGGGCCTTTCTGGTTGCAGTCTCCTTGGGGTTCCTGTGTTCTGGGGCAGCGCCTGGATCTCTGGGACTTGGAGCTCCCCCCGTCTCCTGCGCATCTTTGGGGGCAGATCTGTGGTCCCTCACACTCTCTGTTGGACGCTCCTATAGAGAAACCTTACATAAACAAGCGCGTGTACACACACAGGTGCTCACATGGTGCTCTCAAAAGTATGGACTTGGGCACGTTCAACACAGGTCTTAAGACTATGGTGGGCACTTAATGCACTGTGATTTATTATCGTGATTCTTCAGTTAAAGGAGCATGGGGCAGGATGAAGAAACGAAACTCATTAGCGACACACTCGGTGCTGTGAGTAACTGCAGCCCGGCACGAGAGCGCGCACAAACTCTTCTTCACTAGAAAAAAAAAGTTAGTGATGTACGGCCAGAGCGCGGCTCGAACAAGGCACCGTGTCGAGCGATGAAGTAAGTAACATTGTTACTTTAGTCTAATATTTGTAAAATTCCATGACAACATTAGCATTTTAATTTAGCCATGACACTCGTGATGTAAAGCAAGCGCTAGCTCCTTCCTATGAAATATTCATAAGCCAGTTTTGTGACTGGCGAGCAAGACAGTAACATGATGCTACTTTATCAGCATAAGGCTTTTTGGCTGCAGGTGATTTCTGATGTTTTTAGACCAGTTACAGTTATTATTTTGCACTAAGCTTACTAACAAGCTAATGTCATTGTTTATACATCATGTAAGAACATCCAATTTCAAGTCACTGACATCATTTGTGAAACCAATTTCATTACAGGACAGGCATCACAACAATGTAAATAAGAACATAAATATCAATGTTTAGTTCAAAAATGCATCAAAATAAAATCATAATATCAACAAGACCTACATGGTAATAGTCATTTTTCATTACTGTCATTGATTTTCAGGAATTCACATTGGAAGTAGTGATGGAAGACAGTTCAGATGAGGAGTAAGTGCCGTCTTCCAGGGGTGATGCTGGATGTCCTGGAGTTTCGGTTGATTATATATTTCTTCATCAAGTTGACACAGTGATAGCTTGATCTTGTTGTATTGTTGTTGTGTCCCATATTTTTTTGCCCTTTTGCTTTTTTTTGTCTTTTTCTGCAGGTCTAGAAGCAGACTCTTGTTCATTATAGTTTATTTTTGTGGACCCCCCCTCTCCCCACCTTTTCTTTTCCTTTCTCTTTCACCTCTGTCTCCGTGTCTGGTCGGAATTACAAAGCATTCAAAAACAACAACAATAAAGTTTTAAGTATAAGGCGTGACATTAAAAGCAGACGCTTTGAAGCTCCACCTGAGAGTAAATCTGTAAGGCTTGTTACCAGCATTCAGACATCAATTCTGTTTGCTTCGCAGCCAGACAGGACACGGCAAAAAAAAAAAAAAAAAAGAAAAAAAAGGATTTGTTCATGTTATGACGTGTTGCTTCTGCTTATCTAAATGTTGTGATCTAATGCAACCTTTCAGGTCGAGCATCTCGGGTTGGTGGAGAGCGGGGAATAACTAGAGCGGTCCTGACTAAAATCCAGGTGTGTGAGAGACCCTTAATCTATCTGCTAGACACACCAGGAGTGTTACCCCCAAAAATTGAGAGCGTAGAAACAGGCATGAAGTTGGCATTGTGCGGAACTATCCTGGATCATTTAGTGGGTGAAGACATTATTGCCGAATACCTGCTCTATTCTTTGAACAGACTTGGGAATTTCAGTTACGCGGAGAAATACGACCTCCCAGAGCCAAGCGACGACATCCAGTATGTTCTGAAACGCATCGCTGTGAAACTTCAAAAGACTCAGAAGGTCAAAGCCCTTACAGGAGTGGGAAACATCACCGTTACCATCCCAAACTACACCGCAGCAGCTAACGATTTCATCAGAGCATTCAGGAAAGGAGAGCTGGGACCAGTAATGCTGGATTGATCTGACCTGTTTGTTTTTTTTTTTTATTTAGGCATCATCAGATGAGTATTACGGTACTTGTGTCTGCCGTGATAAAATATAAAAATGAGATCATTGTATCTTTTGTAAATAAAATAAGGAAGTTAAAAAAAAAGGTAGGCATAATAAATGATAAATTATTGCCATTGGCACTATTGAGATGTTATTGTCAGCCTGAATTTATACCCCGAAATGAAATGTTTCGTTTCAGTGAAACTCCGCCCATGACCGCTTTGGCTAAACGTGCCTATCAGCACCTTAGGTGAGCCTGCTGTTGTATTAGTCTTGGTAGTTCAGTGGTTTAAGTGTCCAGTCTGGCAGTCTAACCACTGGACTACCAAGACTGCTATAAAACAACAGTCGCACCATAACTCTGAGTTTGTCGAACATGGTGACTGAACTGGAGTTCGCTGCGGCTCTTTCCTTTGTTCTAAATGACTTGGACACGTCCTTAAAACAACAACAAGTAGAAGCGCTAAAAGTCTTTCTTCAAAAGAAAGATGTTTGCGCTGTCACCAGACGCCATTTTTGACTACAGCTAAAAACCTGCACCGCTGCGCGGTACAGTCGGCATTTCCGTCACACACAGCGACTTTCAGTTTCTCATAAACAACAAAGACAAGCAGCAGAGTTTGCTGCGGCCCTTTCCTCCGTTCTAAATAACTTGAATGTCTTTAAAACCACAACAAGAAGAAGTGCTAAAAGCATTTCTTCCCAAAAAAAAATAAAAATTTGCGTCGTTGCCAGACGCCTTATATTACCACAGCTAAAAAACGACAGCATCGCGCGGTACAGTCGACATTTCCATCTTTTTTTCTGATTGGTTATTTTTGAGCTGCCTAGTCCCGCCCCTCAAGTGCCTCTCTGCCTGTGAGTTACCAGCCTCTTTCTCTGCGCAGAATTAAACAGAGGAGGAGTCTGGCAGGGCAGGCTAAACACACATACCCTGTACGGCCATTATGTGCACCTTTGTAGACATGGTCTCCTTTAAAAAGCTGCTGAAAACCAGAGGTGTGACCAAGTCACTGCTTTGCAAGTCACAAGTAAGTCACAAGTCTTTCCAGTTAAGTCTCGAGTCAAGTCCAAGTCAAAGACAACCAAATCCAAGTCGAGTTCAAAGTCAATTACGTAAAAGTCCAAGGCAAGTCCAAGTCCTTAACTTTGAATTTTCAAGTCATAATCAAGTCATCTGTCCAACTTCAGTTTGATGACAATGATAATTAATAAATTCCCGAAATAAAGCTTCTTAAAGCTTCATTTATTTGCTCAAACAACAGAAAGTGCAACTGAAACTGATTGTGAACAAAGTGCTGCTGCATTTAGCAGAACAAGATCAAACCCAGAACCAAGAATGATTTATGATTTTTGCCCATGTCGTGGCGCTTTGTGCTAAAATATCAAATATGCTCAAGTCAACAGATGCAAGTCGATTCAAGTTGCAAGTCATTGTCATTCAAGTCCGAGTCAAGTTATCAAGTCAAGTCAGAACTCATTAAAATATTGACTCGAGTCCAAGTCATATGCCTCGAGTCCACACTTCTGCTGAAAACTCACTTGTTGAAACTGGCTTTTGCGTGACCTTCATCACCACCCTCTCCTTATTCTACTCTTTCTACTTATTCCACCTTTCTTTCTTTAAATATACAGTCTATGTGTGTGACTCGTGTTTTCTTGTCATCTAGAATCTTCCGGCGCTGATGCATAGCTGGCAACAGCCATGAAACCAATGAAAGGAGAGTTAAGCATTTGTTTTAAAACATGGACTGCAGTACCCAAATTTGACCACAGGATGTCATACTTATTCCATTCAAGTAAGAAGTCATTATAAGTCTTTTAAAACCATAAAACATAATACCTTAAGTATAAGTTATTAATTCTGGCTTTTGTTTTAACAGAAATACTAAAAGTAGATCCGAAGTAGCGACTGAATGCCACTCAGCCCGCTGGGACTCCTCTCTGTGGTGCTGAACAGCTCTGCCATCAGAGAGTGAGGAAGAGGAGCCTGTTGCGCGAATGGGAGTGTGGGCTTGTCAGTCATCGCTCTCTACCGCATTTGGCATTTCAGTCAGGTATAAAAGGTGTGTTTTGTGCCAAAGTACCCCAAGTCAGACAGGCATCCAGACAGTGTACCTGAATAACAATATTTTCTCACAGTAAAGTGGGACTAACTTGGAAGGGGGTGAGAGGGGTAAACATAGTTCAGGATGGAGCTGCAGTTGTGTTGTTGTGATTTCCAATAAAAAGCCAACATATATATCTCTTCAAGGTTCTCCTTCACCATCTGTTCTTCAGCTGCAGTGACTCCAATCTTCTTCTTCTTAACTTGCATGTATGAGCTCGCCACACAACATGCCCTTCCTGATTCATTAGCATATAAATAACTCATACAAACACAAAGAGGCAGCGGTGCCATCACACTGATGCCTTTTCCAGTGGTGCTAAGAGGTAAATGTGGAATATTAGTAGGTATACACAGACTCTTGTGTCAATTAGTGTGTGTGTGTCTGTGTGTGTGTGAGAGAGAGTTGCACCAAACCTGATAAAAAGGCTTTTAGGCTAATTACATGAGCAGAGTGTGTCTCTATCCAGGTGAATTTTAATCTTGCGCCCCTGTCTCTCTTGTTCTTGTCCTTGTGCACGCAAATATCTACAGACATGCACAAAACAAAGGCTGCTGCTGGGGTTTTACATTAGAAATGTATTCTAATGGGAGAAGCTGGTCTGATGAGTGAATACTTGGTGCACATAGGTGTCACATCTTTAATAAAACTGACTGAGCCAATAAAGAAGACCTTTGGGCCATTCCCATCTGTACCGGGTCGGCCCGGGCCGGGTAGCCCCAGTCGGCCCCAGCCTGGCCCGGTTGATTCCACACATCCTTGCCTTAAGCCCATGTGGGCTGATTCTACCCACCAATCAGAGGCTTGCTCTAATGGAAGGTGTGAATTTGCTGTCAGCAGTGGGCGTATTGGCCCTGGTCGGCCTGAAGCAGTACCCCTCGGGAAGAGGGCCGAGAATGAGCCTTGGTTGGCCCGGGAAAATTCCAGGCCACCCAGATATGTAAACAACCTACGCTACCCGGCCCGGGCCGACCCGGTACAGGTGGGAATGGGGCTCATGTTCAGATTGTGACCTGGTTGTGCTTCATTATTGTTACCTTGTTTGTTGAAATAGCTTTCTATTTATTTTATTTCTCTTGCTTTTTGTTTTTAAATTGTAGAGCAAAATGAGAATGAAAAATATGATTCTGAAGATATATTTTGTGCCTTCATTTCTGATTAAAAAGCGCCCTCTATGAAGAGGAAGACAAAACTGCAACATGAAAAAACAAACTACTGCAGCATCATTCCAATTTGAAATCTGAAAAAAGTTAGTTTAATTTAGGAAGAAAACTTTACATATAAACTAATTTTAGATTTGTTTTAACTATTTATCACATTTTCTATTTAATTCTATTTTTTTTTAGATTTCATACCAGGGTCATACCCATCTGCTCTCTACTCACTGATCAAATATTTCAGCTTACTGAAAATGTCTTTTTGTAATACTTTTACAAAACACTTATTGTCATCATCATCCTTATTCTTCACCAACATGACCATCACCACCACTATCGTCATCATTATCATTATTCTCTGACCAGTACTCACCGCGTCGTGGCCACAGAGACAGTCCTGCCCCAAGGCCGAGAGCTGACTCCAGGAGCTATTCTCCTGAATCAGCTTGCGCCGCACTGAGAACTGCTCTTCGGGCCCTGTTGAAAGATCCATCGGCAAGTGAGTCGGTTCTGTCCATCTCTTTGGCAGACCCTCCTCCACCTCCTGAACCATTGTGTGACTTGTTGGTAGAAGCAGGTCCTGCAGAGGCGAAGCCTGCCACAACGGTGCATCCGCTGACACCTGAGACTTCAGCGAGGTCTGGTGTGGTTGCTTCCGTCAGCGCTGGTCCTCGAGCACTCAAAGAACCTGCCACCAGACCTGACGAGCCTAGCTCACCGATCAGACTTCCACTAAGGTTTCTCTGCAATATCATCCGTGAAGGTCCTAATGAGAAACCTCACATTCCGGTGACCCTGGAGGGGGCGCTTGACTGTGAGGGCATGTTGGACTCCGGTTCAGATTTCACCATCATGTCCAGCTCTCTCTGGGAGCATGTCCGCATGGCTTCCGCTGCACAGGGTCGCGTCTTAGGACTCACCCCCTTCACCGTGAACATCCATCCTTACTCTTCAGGCCAAATGACCTTGTCGAACGTGGTGTTCCTTAACTTCACAGTGGGAGACATGTCCGTGAGCCATCCAGTGTTTGTAGCTAACGTCAAAGCTTTTCCTTTCCTGTTGGGAGGGGACCTGCTCCGATGCTTTAAGGCTGACATTTCATTTGGTGATTGGATACTCCGAACTCGGCTGACTCAACCGACGCCCTTGGCGTCTCTTGAGGACCTCATTCCCTCTTTAGGCGTTGTTAACTACAACGGCGCCGCCAGTCCGACCAGTTGATCCAGTACCAGTGAGGTCAGTGACATCCACAGTGTCTGCGTTGTCTCTGCAGCAGGACCACTCCACACTGTGGTGGGAAAACCACCTACCCTAGGGGGAGTTGGCGGTTGCGGTGACACACCACCTGAGACTCTGCACCCTGCGGTGGGAACACCACCTGCTAAATGGGGGATTGATGGTGGCGCTGATACTCCAGCTGAAGCCCAGCACCTTGCGGTGGGGACTCCACCTGCCGAAGGACGAGCTGATGACTTCACTGACCCTACTGCACTACAGCTGGTGCTGGTGACCTCTAGCCCTGAGGTTGGTGACTCACCTCCCAAAGGGGAGGTTAAATGGCGCCCTGTACCACTACTGGTTGACCCTGATCTCTCTGACCGCACCTGCGCGTCGACCGAGGGCCCTCCAGAGCGCTCACCTGCGCCGAACCCTCGCAAGTAGACAGTCTACAGTCTAAAATGTTCTTGATTTCCATTTCCAACTCTGACAAAGTATGTTTTGTTTGTTGCGTGCATCAGTCTGATATCGACCGCAGCTGAGATCCATTCTCAGCCCCCTCTAACGCGTCTGTACGAACCTGGGCCCTCTTCGGGTATCATGGTCCGAGACCACCCAGGTCTATTAATGACTAACTATCTTCTGTTCACACAAAAGATTTTCATTAAATTCGACCCCGCTATGACGTGATAAG